CCCCCCCCCAAATTGATGTTTCAAATCTGATAAAGAAAAAAAGTTAATGTTTGCTTTACTGTATTTACTGTGTTTCCTAACTTAAAAACAATAGTAAAAAATAAGACTAAGTGCACAATAAAGATTTTTTAAGTAAAAAAAAACAACAACCCACAAAATGCTGTTCTTGTAGATCCCTTGGTTTGTAATATGTGCTTGACTAACATGAAAATCCAAAATGCTTGACCGTCTAAAGAACATATGAACGAGCATTGACACAGGGTTCTCTAGAGAAACAAAACCGGACACTTATGATTTTATATATATATGGACAGATATATACAACACCAAGAAACAAACAGCTAATTAGTCCACACAGCAGTACAGAGGGCTCAGTTCAACTCACTTCGAAAGAGTTAATATACTGGCGGTCAGTCCTTCAACTCACGAGGGCTGCTGGGTGGAATCAAGGAAGCAAACAGCTGAGTCTTCTCTAGAATAATACAGGCAGTCTGGCCATAGGCAGCAAACAGGGCAGGTCACCAACAGTCAGCCAGATGACAGGGTCAGCCAGATGACAGGGCCTGACAGTCCCCAGCTCATGTGGCGAAGCAGGTCCCGAAAGAACCTCAAGCTATAAACTACACAGTCCATGGGTTGGGTGTCCCACAGATAGTGTAGCTCACAAGTTGAGGCAGAGAACTAGCTAAGGCAGCTGCACACTGGTCCGATCATCAGAGAGCAAGAGACACAAAGGCGAGGTTCGCCAAGTCATTATCTCTTTGCCCTTTAATTAAAATGCAACCTTATTAATCCCACATGTTTATTGGCCAGGTTGGCACAATAAACCTACCTATCACAGAGTCCATTGCAACTCATAGGCCTATTTGGATCAGGCAGAACTGCCTCACAGGTTTCCTAAGATTTCTATCTTTTTGGAAGCAAACTGTTGCATCTTTCTCCTAAAGCAGCTGGTGGGTACAGCCAGCCAACTTTTCAGTTTGCCTCTGAGAAATTAACCACTGCCCCACTAAGGCTCTTAATGAATGAATAAGATGAATTAATACTGATGAAAATTATTCCAGTATCCAATAATTGATAGCTATAAAAGGAAGGGCAATAGATGAAGGTTTTCTATTAACTGTATTTTTTAAAGGATCTTTTTAATGGGGGTTCTTACAGTTCTTATAACAACCATACATCAATTGTATCAAGCATATTTGTACATATGTTGTCATCATTTTCTAAACATTTACTTTCTCTTTGAGCCCTTGGTATCCGCTCCTTTTTCCCCTCCTTCCCTCACCCTCCCACCGTGACCCCTTGATAATTTATAAATTATTACTATTTTCATCTCTTACACTGACTGCTGTCTCCCTTCCTCCAAAATGTTTGTCCCCCTTGGGGGTGGGGGTGGCTATGCATCAATTGTTATGATCGGTTCCCCCTTCCTCCCCTCCTTTTCCCACCATCCTCCTACACTACGTCCATTTCTGTTCCTGAAGGGTTTATCTGACGTGGATTCCATGTGTCGAGAGCTCTTATCTGTACCAGTGTACATGCTCCGGTCTAGCCAACTGAAAGGCAGGGCTGAGGTCATGACAGTGGGGGGCGAGGAAGCCTCAGAAAACCAGAGGAATATTGTGTTTCATCAGTGCTATACTGCACCCTGGTTGACTCATCCTCTTCTGTGAGGGGATGTCCTATTGGGTTTTGGGTCTCTGCTCCAACCCACCTTGTTCTCAACACTATGGTTTTTTTGGCTTTTGTTTTGGGTCTTCTGATACCTGTTTCCTGATCCCATCAATACCTTATGATCACACAGCCAGGTGTGCTTTGCATCTAATTTTT